CCCCCCATGCTGCACCATCTCCACCTCCTTACATTAGTGTAGTATGTTTACGTGTGACAAGAAAGATATTTTAAACAGATCTTCATTTACATAGAGCTCTATACTTTATGCATTTTTAGATAGCAGAATAGAAACTTAGTTTTAAGAATAAGTAGTTATCTCCTGGAGGTTAGAAGGGTCAAATAGTAAAGATAAAAAAATCTAACAGTATACCAGTGCTTCCTTCACCCAGCTCATGGAGCCTCATGGAGGAATGGGGTGCTTACCGTGAGTTAGTTTTTTTTGCTAGAAGTTAACCCCATTCAAGCACCAGTGCTTATTTTAGCTTAACTATTCTTGATCAAAGTCTTATTTAATAAGTGTTACATGCTTCCCTGCCTTCTTATACCAAGGCCACTGAACAAAATCATTATGAACATCAATCTTGTACATAATACAGTGAGTTCTGCAGGGGGATGTTAAGCTGTATAAGCTAGAATAGAGATGCAGCTGTCATCTCTCTCTGCTGTCAATGTGCCTGGCACTCCCCTCATCCCCATTCTCCTTTTTTATCCTCTACACACTTCATCCTCTTCCTCAGGAGTTTCTTATTTGAAGAGCACAGGACGCCAGATAATCAGACTAATTTGAATTTTGTGTCAGTAGTCCTTGAGTGCAGGTCTGCAGGGGTTTGTATGTGAGTTGAGTACGTAAGTCTGGTACAGGTGGATTTGATTACAGGAAGGCCGTCTGGTATCGGGGAGAGAAGAGCAGGGGCTTTGGATTTGGAGAAACATGAGTTCACATGCTGGTGTCTCCACAGAATAGCTGAACAACTTTGGGCACATTTGCTTAACCTCTCTGGGCTTTAATTTCCACATTTATAGAATGGAAAGAATATTAGCACGTCATAGGGTTCCTATCCAGAGTGAATGAGCCTATGTATGTAAGGAACCTATCACCTGACCCAAAGTAGACACTCAGCAAAGGTTAGCCCTCTTCACTCCGTCTCCTCACTCTGACATTTTCATAGGGGTTTCTTCATGGCTCCTAGCTGCGTTCAGAGAGGTGAGGTTGCCAGATAAGTACTGTCTGCATAAGCAAGCATCCGCTATATGTCTTTCTTGGAACTGTTAAGCTTTTTGTTTTGTTTTTTAATCCTTCTCCTCCCGTTACTCCAACCAAAATTTTGAGCCTGGATAGCCTGGGTTAGCTTTTGAAATAGGTGTGGTTCATTTACCAGGTGAATGGTACTTTGGAGGCAAGAAATAACAAGTAATGACCTCAGGTCATTGCCTCCGTCACCTTTACTTAAAAAGAGCAGTGACTGAAATCACCCTTCCAGAACACCGGAGGAGATGATGGTCTGTATCCATGTAATCTCTTCCCTGAGATTGACATCTGTCACTGTCTTCCTAGAAATTGAATTGTTACGTCTGATGGAAGCCAAGCCTCAGGCAAAGGGATAACTGTCAGAGCTGTCCCAAGAATACCCAGATAAATTAGTCCTCATTGGGTATTCCTATCCATCTACATATCCACTGCACACCTATTAATACTTTGTAGTCATCTACTTAAGTTCTGACACAAGAGAACAAAGCATTTTACCTGGTGTAAGCAAATTTAATCAAAGTGTTAGCATTGCTATAGCCAGTGTACCATAGAACTAACAAACATATATATGTCTGTATATATGTGTATGTGTATATACCAATATGTGTATGCATATATGCATACAGGCAGGGCTTGCTCACTTGCAGTATGTATCTGTATATCTATATATCAAGGGAAAACTTTCTTATTTTCTCCTGAGAGAGAGTGTTGCAGTATTCTTAAATTTAACAACAAAATGCTGGTTATCTTGATGGTGCTATAATGAAATTATCTGGTTAACTTGACCATTTTTCCACCCAACTTCTTATCTTCCCTTTGAAGTTGTATACTATTACAGATTTATAGTAGTCTTTTTGTATGATTCCACTTTAAAAATTCATATACTTTATATGTGTGTTATATAATTTAACAAAATTATTATGAGAGTTATGTTTGATAGTAAAAATGAATTTAAATATTACAAATTAGACATAGCTACTACGTTGCTTTCATTATATTCTTATTTTCTGTTGAAAGATACAGATTCACTATAATCAATGATTGTGATTGTATTAATTCTCTATTGCTGCGTAATAAATGTCCCCAAAATTTTTCAGCTTAAAACAATAAACATATATTTTCTTACCCAGTTTCAGAGGACCAAGAATCCAGGTGTGGTCGTTGGATGATTCTGGCTCTTTCTCAATCTGGGTTTCTCATGAGGTGGCAATCAAGC